GGGTGACCTTACTTAAAAGTTTCCTGACCCTTGCTGTTGTCGGTATTGTTCTGTTAAAACGCAATTTAATTCTTTTTCTTTAGTCTGGAAATAGCACTGTACAGACAGCAAACAAGACAGAGGTTTGGTTTTTCTCCCCCCACAACCTAAAGGCAAAAACATCCATCATCAGAGTTGGCTTAAAACCAGATGATGTCAAGAAGCGTACAACGTACGGCGGCCCAGACCCTCTGTCAAAGTGGACCTGTTGAGTTGCACTGGTTTCATACTTCACATTCAGAGCTAAGCCCACCGGCATCTGGTCCAGTTGGTTTCCCAGTATTTTCTTGTAAAGATATATACCTGCTTGGTAAGGTAAATAACCAGAAAGGCCTTATTTTGGTGCTCTCACTCCAGCACTGAAGAGCATCCTACTCAATATTTTAGCCATAGGACTGAGTGGTCCCTCTGGATTCACAGCATCATCGGGATGTTTTCCTATCTCTTTGGTACTATGAAGTTATAACATTTCCAGGACAGGGACCTTTAGCCAAGGCCTTGTACATATTCCACATAATCCCAGAAAACCAAACAGATCAGGATTTACACGGAAAAAGTGAATTGTTTTCAAACAGCAACTACCAAAATAGAAGGAGACGGATTTTTCTCGTGACAGTGAGTGTTAGAAGAGTCAGCCACATGCTTTAGGGTTACAGCTGGATTATCCATCACAGGATCTTTGTGAGCCTGGTTTGAATCATATTGTAACCCTGTAATGCAAGTACTTTTGCAACAGCAAACTCACATCGTTATTATCTCTTGTGTTGCTATTATTACATCTTTGCGTTACGGCTGTACGTGGGTATTACACTGCATTAGTGATGCAGATGCACACATCTGCACTCACACCCATACATTTGCACAGGATTATGGCTAAAATTCTTGATCCTGCTTATAAAAAAAGCCCTGAAAATCTGCATGGCTCCCTTTAAATCAGCAGCATTATCCTACTGTAAATCCGGGGTGTAAATCAGAACAGACCGTGGCTCAGATGCTCTTCAGCCACACACCGTAACGGAGTAGGGAGGCTAAAAGCAAACGCTGGGCTCCGTACACATCACAGTTCCCTGCAACACCCATCCCCATTGCATCATGCCCTGCTCAGCCTCACACCCCATCACAGGGGCTGAGCCCCACTTCTCAAAGTACCAGCCCAATTCTTGTCATCGAGAAACTCTCTGAAACAGATTAAGAGCTGGTTTTGGCAGCGCTGCCGCTGCCACGTGCTTCGATATTGCTCACAGCTGAGTTATTTCTTGCTTCTTAGGAACTTTAAATGGCTTTTATGCTCAGTGAACTCATGAAAGGCTAGTATCTAAAGTCAGCAGCATTGAAACCACGAATTAGCCAAAGGAGAAACAGGCCAGTTAGGCATTTCTTACAGTACATTATCTAGATGGTTGCCAGAGGAGCTGATTTAAAGTCACTGTGCTACACCTGAATGTCGTTTATGGCTCATAAAACAAAATCTGTGTTTAAGTAACAATAAAGCAAGACTGCACTTTCTATATTTAATAAAAAAAAAAAAAAATCCTTTCTCACAGAGCAGATGTATTCTTATTTGCTCGGTGCCTGTCTCCAAGGCACGTGGAGTCTGAGCACGCTGGGAGATGCTTTCAGCCACAAAGCCCAAGAGTTAAGCAAGAGGACTTGCTCCAGCATGGATTATGTTCGATTTTCACTCATTTTTCCACCAAAGCCTTAACATACTGAATTTGCCCTCCTTGTAAAGGCAAGACCTGAACCCTCACGTACACCTGGAGCTGACAGAGGAACAAGGGAGATCCCCAGGCACGGCAGCAAGCCCACTGGTCCTGCCCCAAAGCCACAGCCCTGCAGTGGGAAGAAGCAGGGACCCTTCCAAACACCCCCAACTCCAGGGTCGGGACATTTGGCCAAACAAAGTGACAGCAGCCATCACATCAATCATGTAAGTCACAGGCACATCTTTCTGAAGATGCCCATTTTCACTCACCTGTTATCTGCTGATAAATTCCCTCATATCAGACTCAATGGGACAAAATCCACTTTTTTTGGTCTCAGTGCAAATGCTGTCTGGGGGTATTGTGTTACACAAAGCCATGAGGAAAGCAGCTATTATACCTTTGCTAAAGTTTCATTTTAGAGAATCTTCTGCACAAAACCAAGTCCTAATGAGAAATACACAATGGCGACAGACAAACTCTATCCTTCCGTTCCTCTGCACTGTTCTGCCCTCCACCGATTTCCAATCATCTGCCCCCAACCACCCTTTTCAGAGAGTCACGGCCACCTTGGGGCTGCCCACCTCCACACAAGTAGTGCCGATCCCCGGACAGCACCTCGTGCACCCTTCCCAAGCCCCAGTGCTGCTGGTGAGGGTGGGTGCTGCCTCCCAACTGCTCTCATCCTTTCCAGGGCCAAGGAGACAAGGTGGGTGGCTCAGCCCCCAAATCTCCCCATCCAAGGAGCTGGAAAGGACCCGCATGTGCGATGCTACAGCTGTTGACAGTGAGGGTCGTGGTCCTGACCTTTACCTGCTCTCTGAGTCTGACCCAGCTTTTGGAAAAGGCATTGTCCCGCCACAATTCATCTCCCCAAGGAAGAAGCCTGGAGACTTTTATCGGTCTGGTCCACACAGCAGGTCTGCAGGACCTCCCCGACACTCAGCACCACCCAGGATATCTCCAGGGCTGACGCCACACTGCGAGAGAGAGAAAAAAAAAAATTGTGAGCTTCTGCCAACTCAACCACCTCCAAACCAGCTACAGCATCTCATGAAAACAACACGCTACTCGAGATGGAACCTGAACTGAAATAGTTATGCTGCTATAAACTGAGCAACACCCTGCAGGAGGAGGGGAATGGGATGCCAGAGGGAGGGCACACAGCTGCATGTATGGATGCGGGGGTATGGGAAGCAATGCCCAGCTAAATCAGGAATATTAATTTCTCAGTATTAACAGACCACCTCCAATTTTAACTATCAGCATGAGGAACTTGCAGTTCAGCAGTACCTTTAAAAAGGCTTATGGGAAGCTCAAAATAGCCATCTTTTCTAAGAAGCGTCAGCACAAAAAGCTGTAACTTGTTTAGCGATGTTGTGACAGTTCTGCCGGCAGCCCTCCTCTGCAACCAGCTCCTCCATTTGGGGGACGGACCAGTGCTTTTTTAGAAACACCAAGTACAAGGAGGAGATGGTAGACTTTGCGGTGCTGGCAAATATCTATTTTTATTGGGTCACCTTCGAGGAGGCAGGAATGTAACATGTAGAAAGCAACAAAATACAGTCATTACAAAACTGTTTGGCTGTGGGGATCTCAGAGGGATGAGGGTATGCTTTGCTTTAATAGCAATTTAAGTGTAGCAGTTAGCACTGCGCCAGAGTCACAAAACAGCAACAGCAAGTCAGCAATGGCTGAGAGACATCGTTGACCTAACATTAGTTACCTTGTCCTGAGACGAAGACGACCACAATTCAAGTGCTTCACTGGCTTAAAGATCTACTTCATACATCCCGCAGCAGCTGAATCTTACCCCACACTTTGATGGTACAGCATTGCAAACTCACTGCAAACCATAACAAAGAGAAGAAGAGATAAAAAGGGATTTAATGCTGTCAGGACTGCTAACCCCCAAATTCCATCACACGCAAAAACCACAGAGGACTGAACCTGGATTAGTCCAAATATCCGCTCCATCTGCATACTTCCATATTTTTCTTCCAGGTGTTTATTTTTAAGCTACGGACACAGCCTTTCCTCACTCCCAGCAGCTTTCACCTTATAAATCCATCAGCTTTACCTTCCCGAAGAGCACAGCCTTTCGCAGACCCGCTCCTCCCACCCCTTCCCCTCTCACCACGCACCGCTGCTGCCTCACATTCCTCCATTCAATGGTTTCTGCCAACCGCCAACAAACATCAGGAAAACGCAGACTGACCTGTTTGCTCCTCCACCAAACAAAGGAGAGAAGGTGGCCTTGAGATTTCTTCTTTTGGGCTTTTTTTTGGTTTGGTTCTTTTTTCTC